TGTAATTTGTTACACAAAAAAAATGTACCATCGAGATCATATGAAAAATGATCTACGTACACTCTACCCTTAATGTAGTTTCATGTGACTCACATACCCACACTATCTGCTCTTAACTATTTTGGTGTACTTATAGCTGCAGATAGTTGCTTTTTACACTTTCCCTTTTCTTTTAGACCTATTCCTAGCTCTTTCTCACAAACAATGACTGCTGTATCTCTGCTAAATTTTGCTCTATTCTATTGTTTTAATTTTCTATTTATCTATTGCAGTCAGTTATTAAAATTACTCATTAATTAATCATTTGTGTAGAATTTAATTCGTATCTCTAGTAAAAATAATTAATTCACTCTGGTAAACATAATTAATTCGTAACTCTGATAAACATAATTTGGTATAATTAATTTGTAACTCTAATACAAATTTGGTAGAATTAATTCATAACTCTGGTAAATATATTAGCAAAAAATAATAGAGTTTAAATTAGTTCAGAATTTTAAGCCGAACAATCAAAGAAATCGTAACAAATAATTATATTTCAATTATCAGAAACAAAAAAATTCTAATTCACTTTTTAAATTATTATATTTCAATATAATGAAAGTTTTCATTTATTATTATTTTTATTTTTTAATAAAATTTGGTTTTTGTATTTGTAACAAATCTATTTTTTGTTTGAGACAATTCCTGCCCACATTATCATTATTCAATTGTGATAACAATTGAAAGCTTATAATATTAAAAAAAGTACAGTACATTTATGACTTTATTCAATGACTTGATTCAATACAACTTTATAGCGATTGAAAAAGGGTAAATATAATTGTTTTTCTATATTAATTACAAAAATTTTAATGAAATAACACTTAAAGTGAATACTGCATTTCAGTAATCGTTATATACGTGTATTAAGCAAGAAAATGCTAATGTAAAATTTAAAGATTAAATATAAAATGAAACTTTCGCACAAATAACAGTAGTAATATACGTAAAATTAGATACATGGAACAGAAAAAATCTAGCATAAAACTTATTGTAGAGTCAAATTTTGCAAACAAAGAGTGTAAAGAATTAATTCAAATTGCAGCAAACAGTGAAAAAAATAGAAATATTAAAAGAAAAAAAAATATATGTTTCTAATAAGTTAACAGAAGCTCTTAGTGTTAAAACATATTTTACTCCATTATGGCAATTAAGTTATAATGCAGATTTAACAGTCTTACAGAGAAAAATTAATGCATTAAAAAATTATAAAGAACTACAAAATAAGTTTAAAAATTTAACTGATAACAATAAAAAATTGAAATTATATGGGCAAAACAATAAATTATATGTGCAAAACAAATCAAAATTCTTTTCAAAGTCTAAAGATGATGAACTTCAAGTGAAAAAAAATCTATTTGAGAAGCATATAAGAAAATTTATTGAAATTCTTAATAAAGAAACAGTACATACAGGACTTTCAATCGATCAGAAGACTAAAAAAAGTGATGCAAACGAGACAATTGTTGAGTTTAAACTAAAAGAAATCTTGAATAACTTTGGAAAAGAAAGATTGGCAAAAGATCAAGATGTTGCTTGGTTAATGAGAGAGACAAAGTTTGCACATAAAAAAAAAACTGAGTTAATTCAAATTGCAACTAAATATAAAGAAAAATTAGACCTATTAGAGAAAGAAGTAAACTATGTTGTCGATACATTAAGGAAAGGTATTAAAGCTAAAATAAATTCTGATTTGGAAAAGGAAATAAATTTTAAATCCAAAAAATTAAAGTTAGAGGATCAAATTAAAGAGTTAGAAAACAATAGCGATCTAAAAATTTTGCAAACAATATTAGATGAATTAACTCAAGAAAATATAGAATTAAAAAATTTAATTCACAAAAATTCTAAATTCATAATGGAGCTAAACAAACGAATAAATTTTTCAAGGTCTAAAGAGAAAAGGGATAATGAATTAAATGAAAATATTAAAAAAAATAGAATATGACATAATAGCTAGCAAGAGAAGCGCTAAAGAATTTGAATTAATCAATCAACAATTTCAAAAGCAATAATATGATTCAGATCAAATTAATAATAAAGTTCAGTTAATTTTATAAGTTGCAAAATTTACATATATTGTGTAAATAATCTAGTCACCCATATTCTACTATTTTTCATCCCCCACAATTATTTATCTCATACAGATAAAATACTTTTTCGTTTGCTATTCACATCACTTAAAATCAGAAATAAAATTAAACATTATTAATGATTTCTATATTTGAATCTGATACTTAAATTTAAATTCCGATCTTGAATCTTACTCTAATTTGATAAAAATAATAAAAAATGGACTGCTCGAGAAACTCAGAAGCATGTAGTCATTTATTAATTTGATCTAGTTTATCTTTCATAATCCAAAAACTGGACGCAAAGCAATTTGTTTTTAATTGGACGACTTATAATAGAGCTTTGAATAGTTCCATTTTCAAAGACAAAATAAAGCTATTATTGCAAGACTTACATATTTAAGAAATATTGCAAATAACTTTGGTACAATAAGAAATAAATTTATTTGTTCTATGCAACCTTGTTAATACCATTAATTAAGGAGCTTATAGATTTAGCACACATATAAAGAGATTAAAGAAGAAAATTTAAGCATCAATTATTAATTTAGAGTCAATATTTTTGCAAAATAATAATTTGTCGCAATATAATTATTTAGATTATTTGATGCATTAGCCTCTAAAGTTTTTAATGTTTGTTAAATTAAACAATATCTTAATTCTAGAATTTTGACTAGATCAAAACATTTTCAGACGATTTATGGAGTAACTCTTAATAAAGTGCTAAACGTCATCTATTGTATTTGAACTATCCATACAAAAGGATAATTGATACTATAAAATTAGTACTAAGTATAGAATGAGATAGTTAAAACATCTATTAAGAAAGTCATAAAGATGTACAGTATTAAGCATTGAAACATCTATTAGTAAGTTAAGAAAATCATTCTACTTAACAAGACAAATTCCAATTCAGATTGGTCGTCAAACCAGACCAAACCCATCCTAGAGGTGAAAGGAACCAAATAGAACTACCTCTTGTATCTTGAGCACCCACTACATCACTATAACACAGCGGCTCTGCAGAAGTAATTTGAGTTACAGCAAAGGTGCTTCCATTTGAATATTCCCCAGTGCTAGAAATTTCTACACAAGGGCCTTGTAATGCAAAAACTTTTAATGCAACGTTAGCAATTGATGTGTTGAAGGAAACCGCACTTGGTACAAAACGAGTGCAATAAAATGTAAGTGGAACAGCGGACAATGTGATGTTTGGAATTATTACAAAAAGGTTGAGAACAAAAATAAACAATTTAAAAGGACTCATAGTTGCTAGCATTATTTTATTTTGTAAAAATACTTTGAAAACATCCTCTGAATTTCATCTCACGTATTTTCGTAAACTGGGCTTTAAATATATTAGCAAAAAATAATAGAATTTAAATTCTTTTTTTATTGGACAAATTTAAAATGCAGCAGTACTATAATTCGGACTATTGATTGAATTGCAAAGTATTTCTATTGAATAGAATTCAGTGATTTTAATACGAACACTCAAAAGAATTCTTAATTGTATTTTTAGAACAATTTAATTTGTAAATTTGAGACACATTCAGTTTTCTATTAATGAATTTGATTTCAATTAATCAATCAACAAATTCAAAAGCAACTTCAAAAGATTTAAGAAAGTTTCTTAAAGAAACTAATCAACTGTTAAGAATATGCATAATAGTTAAAAACTGAATTTCGCTCAACAAAGAGTTACAAAAATCTGCCATAATACAGTAAATTCATCATGTATTATTTGATCAGCATCACAAGGAATTAAGTTCTGGTTAACATTAATGTACATATGAGATTACACGTTAATGTTCTAATTTATATTTAATGTATAATACAGTATATTTTTTTCTTTAATATTTTAAAATCCGGGTTTAATAATTAGTGAGAATTGAAAAAAAATTTTCAGATTATTATATTTGTATATTTTTTTGATATCAAAATTGAGAATTTATAAAAATTTTATTATTTATTGCTTTAGCATGTGTATAATATCTTGAAAAAAATATTATAACTTATTAAAAAATATTGTTGTTAAATAGTATTAAATTAATTTATCTTATTAGATCAATTAGTTATGTTAATTTCAATTCGAACTCGATAGGATAATGATCCGAGACACGCATTGCGAGTTTTGTGATCAAGGCTGGATCGTATTTATCTTTCCAAAATTTGTCAAA